GAGTGAAAATGCCCAGAATTCAAGTCCTAGCGCTGGCATAAAATAAAATAAAAACAAAACAAAAATGAAACAGAAAAGGTTCATGATCAAATTCATACAGTAGTCACATAATACCATATGAATTTGCAAGAAAATTTAGAACAATATCTATACAGATGATTTTTAAAAAGTCAAGACACAATAGGACCAAACATGAAAATCACAACCTAAAATACCAAAATATTTTTTTATTCAAGGAAAGGAGAGCAGATAGAAAAAAAAAAGTTAGAAACACCCTGGAGTTAGATTCTTTGAAAAAATAAAATCTGTGAGAGATGCCAAGTTACTCAGGAAAGAAGTAAAATAATGAAAACAATCCTAAGTAAAGTCTAAACTGAAAAGTACTCAAAAGCAAATTAACTTCCATTACTTCAATAAAAGAATTAGTATATGGAATGAAAATTTTTCCCAATCAAAATGAAAAAAGAGAAGATTTCTACCATCTGCCAAGATAGGGACATAAAATATATCTTCTGAAGCCAGATTCCAGTGGCTCATATCTGTAATCTTGGCTACTTAGGAGGCTGAGATCAGAGGATCTTTGTTTGAAGCCTTCACTCAAACACACACACACACACACACACACACACACACACACAGACACACACACACACACACACACACACACTGCAGTTAATTTAGAGCTTTAAAATTTTCATTCTCCACAGAATATTGACTTTGTAGCAATCAATATAGTTTGACATATACCATGAAAATGTAACTCTCCCTCTATGTCAGGCCAGCACAAATACAGGGATATAACTGATGCAATGAAGCCAAACTGACCTGTGTTCTTTTAAGTGGTGTATGCTGTGATATGTGACTTAGATCCTAGTTTTTAAAACTATGAAGAGAAACAGGCTACAGCAAAATAAGTGTCTCAGGCATGTGCTGGCTAGGATGCCTGAAGAGAAAGTTGAAGTGAAAAGAGAAGACAGAGGCTGTGGGGAGGGAGGAAGATAAAAAACTAAGATACAAGTGGATGTTTCTGAATGAAAGGCTTGATTCGGAGGCACATTTAGAAATTCGAGACATTTCTTACACTTTGGAAAGCAACTGGCATTGTGGGAGCTGTGTAGCAGCTTTGAGCTAGTGTACCAGTCACACCTTGACGACCATGGGGCTGTCAGAGGCAGCAGTCCAGTCTCCCCTAGCTTTCTACCCATTTTGATCATAACAAACCCTAACAGACTATTCCTCTGGTAACCACAATTGCATTAACACATGTGTGCGTGGAATTTTAGAGCTAGGAAATTCAACATCATCCTTCAAACAGCAACCCCACTAGGGACAATTCATCCAACAGCATTGAGTGTGGACCAAGACACGTGTTTAGATTTTCCCTGAAAGCCAGGAAATTCAGCTTTCCTTTTTTCACAGTCCTGAGGCTCAGAGCCCGAGCTATGCAGGTGGAGAGAAAGGAGTAGTGGTCTACGGATGGAACAGTGCAGAAAGGGCTCTGGGATCTTAGCAGATGTCTCTGATTCTGCTTCCTTACACAACCACAAGGGTAACCAGTGCAGACCTTTGAAATTTCCTTTTTGTTCAAATTGCATTTAATCTTTTTGTTGTTGTTGTTGGTCCTGTGGCTTGAACTCTGGGCCTGGGTGCTGTCCCTGAGCTTTTGTGTTCAAGGCTAGAGCTCTACCACTTTGAGACACAGCTCTGCTTCCAGTTTTCTGATAGTTAAGTGGAGGTAAGAGTCTCACCAACTTTCCTGTCCTGACTCACTTCAAACCACAATCCTCAGATCTCAGCTTCCTGAGTAACTAGGATGACAGGTGTAAGCCACCAACAGCTGGCTCCTTTATGTTTAAATCGCATTAAATTTAACATACTTCTAGTGTTGAAGTGGGAAATATAACAGTCTTAGATTATTTCCCAGGCTCGTGGAAAGGTACAATCAAGGTGGAGCACAATGAGAGTAGTTCCTTCTCATCCATCCATTCTTAGGATGAGAACGAACTCAAGGTGATTCTAACACCCTTTCCTACCACAGCCTCTTAATCCTGCTGTGGGTCTTATACTTTGGGTAGCATATTTATTCCAGAAGTGAATATCCTCCTCCACACACATCAGAGAGGAAGAAAACATTCTGGGGAGATGAAAGTCCTGAAAACACTATCACCACCTCCTCTCCATTACTACCACTAGTACCAGCATCTCTACCTTTACCGTCACTATTATCACCACATCATTCCCACCAATACCCATCTACCATCATCCTCAGGACCACCTCCACCCTCTGTATCGTTCCAATTTTAGTATATGTGCTGCCGAAGCGAACACCACCTCCACCCTCACTATCACCACGCTAACCACTTCAAATCACCATGACCACGTCACTACCACCAAATCCCATTACAAATGGTAACCTAATAAAATAAACCATTTCCTATCTACTATCTTCTCCTGGGTGCCAGTGACTCATGCCTGTAAGTACTGGCTATTCAGGAGGCTGACATCTGAAGTTTGAAGCCAGCCATGGAAGAAAAAATTGTGAGACTCTTCTCTCCAGTTAACCAGCAAAAAGCTGGAAATGGAAGTGTGGCTCAAATGGTAAAGCTAGGGGAAATAGCTAAGGAAAAATGACCTGGACTGAAATTTAAGCCCTAGTACACAGAAGCACTCACGCGTGTGTGCACGCACACACACACACACACACACACACACACACACACACACACACAGCTATCCCAATCTAATATCTCCTAATCCAGGTGTTTCCGAATATTTTCACTTTTTGAGCTGATTTTCTAAGATGCACTAAAGTTGATATTAGATCCCAGAGCATTTGCTTGAATGGCCATTGGGCACCCATTGTTTCAGTCATGCCACAAAAGCTCTGTAGGCATGGATGTGCCAACAAGCTAGTCATCTGGCTGGCTGGACTCTGCTTGCCCTTTCCTCACAAGGTAGGAAAGAGGATACTTCCAGCATGTCAACAGGAGCATGGCGGGCATCCTTCTCTTCCAGAGTTACTGATGATGGGCCTGACAGGTTATAGTGAATGCATGAGCAAGGGCAGGACCAGGGGGCATTTGGTTCAGGGCATTTAAAACCAATGTTAACATCTCAATGAAGAAGCTTTACTCCAGCTCAGCTGGAATGACACCTGCCAGTTTGCTGTTAAATATAGACAACTGAAGCTTCACCCTCAGTCAAGTTTTCCTGATACATAATACTTGCAAACCGAGCTGCTGCTCTTGTCTATTTATGGGAGCCTTGTGGTAGAGGTCCCATGAATGAAATTGCTCACACCTCTCTTTGGAACTGTTTTAAAATTCACTTTAGCTTCTTTTAAAATAAATTCCTTTATACTCATTCTTTCTTTTTTGAACATTTAAGTAGTAGAAGTATGCAGGCCACATTTAAAGTCATTATTTTTCCTAATTTTGATTTTTTTTAAAAGGTAGAGCAAAAAAGCATAAAAACTAGTTTTCTTTTTTTTTTTTTTTTTTGTGCTAATGCTTGGGCTTGAATTCAGGGCCTTGATATCTTGTTTGTTTGTTGTTGTTTTTTTTCTCAAGGCTGGTGCTCTACCACTGAAGCTTTACCTCTGATCCTAGATTTTTTTTTGCTGGTTATTTGGAGATAATAGTCTCTCCAATTTGTCTTCCCCAGTTAGCTTCCAGCCACAATGTTCAGATCTCAGCCTCCGGAGTAGCAACCTTGTTTCCTTGATTGTCTTCCTTTCTATAGGAGTATATAAGTTAATTTTATTCATTTATGACTTATACCTTTCTTCCCTAAATGAGAAACTGACCAGGTTAAAGTGGAATATAGCACCATTTTGGCAAAGTATAGCTTATCCTAGAGGATAGATGAAAATCCATAGGGGTCACTGAGATTCTATAGGTTCTTTGGTGGTTGAACTCAAGTTTGGAGTTAGGCTTGAGTTCAAATTCCAAATCCTAAGTCTCAGGTTTTCATAGTAAGAATGCCAGAAGCAAAGAAATTAGGGCTTGCTGCTTAAGATAACATTCTCTATCATACCTCTCCTTCCCCTCAATGCATATTTCCATATAAAGTCAAGTGATTAACTTAAGCACAAAAGCTTATACTATGATTGCCAGAAGTTTTAATTAAAAATTAGTCTAACTATAAATCTGTACCTGTCCCAAAATCAGATGAGAGTTTGCTATGCCTGTTGACCCAAAATTCTATTTATAGGAATCTATAGGAGAGCAACTCTCATAAGCACAGTGACATATGGATAGGAATATTTATTGTACCACCATAAGAAATAAGCATACCCAACATAAATGTCCATGGTAGGGAACTGGCTGAATAAGATTCTGCATGGGTGCTATGCGTTCTTGTGGAGGGGCCTGTCTCTTTCTTTAGCATATACAGTTGCACTGGGGAGGCAGTTCAGTGGTAGAACACAGGATACAGAACAGTGTGTGTGTGTGTGTGTGTGTGTGTGTGTGTGTGTGTGTGTGTGTGTGTGAAGAAAAATGTAGAATTTCATACAAAGATGTGAAAGTATAAGGAATATTTCTGCAAAGGTATAAAAGATAATATTGACAGTAATGTTGCCCTCCAGGGAGAAAAGCTCGTATATTAAATTTTATAGGAGGAAGAAAATGAACCTCCCACCCTTCTTTAGAATATGCTGTGTGTACTTGGTCAGTATTCTTCTTTTTAGTTATAATAAAGGCATGGTAATATTTCTAAATAAAAGCAACAGTGTGCTTTCAAATAGGCATTCTTTCAACTAATAAGATACATATTTAAAGGCATTGACTATTCATGTTACTCTCTCCTATTAATATACCAAGGCTGTTCTTGGTTCAAATTTTACCATATCAAACAAGTAAATGCATTTGGGCTTTTACTCATCCTTTCCCAGTTTTAAAGGATGAGATCAATTAATGTTAAGTGTTCAGAAAGTTGCATTTGAATCAAGAATAAAGAGTTCAACAAAGAAAAAAGGAAGAGAAAGAAAGAGGACACCATCAGGACACAAATGTTTATGTGGTTTTAGCCATTACAACAGGAGCTCAGAAATATCTCAAATGTTACATCTATGTCATCAATATTACAAAAGAAAAAAAAAGTGACAGGCAACAGTGAAGAGCACCAGAGACCCAGCGCACACAGCTAAGGTAGACCATGCTTCCTTCCTTCAACTGCCAAGGTATTTTCACAGGTAAGCCCCCCACCCCCTCGCTTTTCTCATCAGCTTTACCTAAACTGCTTCAAGTCGTGAATTTAAGCCTCATCTTCACCCTCCTCCTCCTCAAACTCCCCCTGTTCATCAGCAGTGGCATCCTGGTACTGCTGGTACTCAGACACCAGGTCATTCATGTTGCTCTCAGCCTCAGTGAACTCCATCTCGTCCATGCCCTCACCGGTGTACCAGTGCAGGAAGGCCTTGCGCCGGAACATGGCCGTGAACTGCTCGGAGATGCGCTTGAACAGCTCTTGGATGGCCGTGCTGTTGCCAATGAAGGTGGCCGACATCTTGAGGCCACGCGGGGGGATGTCACACACAGCCGTCTTCACGTTGTTGGGGATCCACTCCACGAAGTAGCTGCTGTTCTTGTTCTGCACATTGAGCATCTGCTCGTCCACCTCCTTCATGGACATGCGGCCTCGGAAGATGGCAGCCACCGTCAGGTAGCGGCCGTGGCGGGGGTCGCATGCAGCCATCATGTTCTTGGAGTCGAACATCTGCTGGGTGAGCTCGGGCACTGTGAGGGCCCGGTACTGCTGGCTGCCCCGGCTGGTCAGGGGGGCAAAGCCTGGCATGAAGAAGTGCAGGCGGGGGAAGGGCACCATGTTCACGGCCAGCTTGCGCAGGTCTGCGTTCAGCTGGCCTGGGAAGCGCAGGCAGGTGGTGACCCCACTCATGGTGGCTGACACCAGGTGGTTGAGGTCTCCATAGGTGGGCGTGGTCAGCTTCAAGGTGCGGAAGCAGATGTCATACAGGGCCTCGTTGTCGATGCAGTAGGTCTCATCTGTGTTTTCTACCAGCTGGTGGACAGATAGTGTGGCATTGTAGGGCTCCACCACAGTGTCTGACACCTTGGGTGAGGGCATGACGCTGAAGGTGTTCATGATGCGGTCTGGGTACTCTTCTCTGATCTTGCTGATGAGCAGGGTGCCCATGCCTGACCCGGTGCCACCTCCCAGAGAGTGGGTCAGCTGGAAGCCCTGGAGACAGTCACAGCTTTCTGACTCTTTCCTCACCACATCGAGGACAGAGTCGACCAGCTCGGCTCCCTCTGTGTAGTGGCCCTTGGCCCAGTTATTGCCGGCCCCGCTCTGGCCTGCCAGGGGGAAAGAGATGAAGTCAGTGGAGCTTGTAGTAAATTCCTTACATGAAATCTCTTAATATGGATCAATGAGCCTGTGCTCTAATATTATTTCAATTTTTCACCAAATGGTGAGCCATTAAAGTATTGGATTATACCTGTAATTATAAATAAGGAAGCCTAGGCTTTTGTAGACAAAGACTAGTACACCTGGCAATTATTAGAAACTGAAAGGCAAAAGGTCAATTATCAAGCCTATACTAAAACTGGATAGCTGCATGTTCCTCATGCCCTTCCCCTGGCAGCCCCACTGCCCCACCCTGAGGTGCCCAGTGTAAAACACTCCCCTTATGCCATCAGCCACATCAGGCACTCACCAAACACGAAGTTGTCTGGCCTGAAGATCTGACCAAAAGGTCCGGACCTGACTGAGTCCATGGTGCCTGGCTCCAGGTCCACCAGGATGGCCCGAGGTACATATTTGTTTCCTGCAGGGAACAAAAGCTGTCTTCAGCTTGCAGTCAGAGAGCTCAGTGGAGAAGCGCTTGGTATCCGCCCTCCTTGCGGGCAGTGATGTTAGCTTCAGAACAAAGGAGAACCCACCATAGGTTTTTGCGGGGCTTGGTTGGCACAGGGGAGCACAACTCAGTAACAGACTATCCTAAATTGCCTCCTCTACATTCTTCTGGGACCACAACAGGGAGAAGCCGGTACAAAACTGAAGCGGGGGGGGGGGGGGGGGGGGGGTTAAAGGTAATTACCAGTAGCTTCATTGTAGTACACATTGATTCTCTCCAGCTGCAAATCACTGTCGCCATGGTAACTGCCAGTGGGGTCGATGCCATGCTCATCACTGATGACCTCCCAAAACTGAGACAGAGAAAGATTGTATTTAGCTAGACACTGCCTCCCCGGAGACGCCACCATTCACAAAGAAAAGCTCCCACTTGGTTCTGAGGTGCAGCATCTTAGGAGCTTTAAAGGGCAGGCGAACAGAGAACGCCTGAGGGCTAGGATTCTGCAGGGTCAGAAAGTTGAAACTGGGCGTTTCCCAGGGGAGCAGCTGCTCCCCGCAGGAGGTAGGGGTAGTGCGGCGATTCGAAAAGCCCCGTCTGGGAGTCAGTCCCCGGGTGGCTGAGCAAGCGCCCTGGAACTCCAGCCACCCGTGAGGAGGGGGCGGTGGGAGGCTACGGATGAGGAGCGGTTTTAGATTCAAAGCACGTCCTGCACCGCCAGACAATCGGTCTCCTCCCCTCCCCCGCCTCCAGCGGGTCCAAGCGAATAAAATCAATTCTCCTCGCGTCCCAGCCCCCGCCAAAGATCGGCGCGCACGGCCTCGAGGACACGCCCAGACACTTCTTCTCAGGCACATGTGCCCGTCTGAGTGGCGAAGTGGCACAAAAGGAAAACCAAGACCAATCGAGATCGAAAAAAACGAGTTCTCGTAAAAATGAAGCTCTTCCCCTCACCCCTATGTCTCCCCAAAAATCGCCTCCCAGACCACACCCCTCTAGGTTGCACAAAGCGGCCAGCAAGGTCTGCACTTGGTGCCCACCTCGTCCTACCGTGGACCGCACTGCGCCCAGAGACCCCCACGGGGCGCTGGGCTATGGTCCCTTCTGCTCCTGCCCCCCCTTCCCCGCGGCGCGCCCACCTTGGCGCCGATCTGGTTGCCACACTGGCCCGCCTGGATGTGCACTATCTCGCGCATGGTGCCTGGTTAGTTTCTTCCCGTCTCGGGTGTGTGCCTGTGATTCTCTCGGTCCTCCCCTTCCACACCCACGGCTGGGCCACCGGGATCGCGCTCGGAAACCGACGGGCTGAGAGCGTCCGCCCAGCGGGCACTGCGTTTTATGTAGGGAGGGTGGGGGCGGACCTGGCAGGCCGCGCCCCCAGCCCGAGCCCCCCAGTCCCCGTCGAGCTGGCTCTCTCCAGGCCGGGCTGACGTAATGCTCAGAGCCCCGGGGACCGTCCTGGGGGCTGGACTTCGGACCCGTGGCCAATCAGCACGGGTGTGAAGACGGGGGTGGGGGCGCCTGCGAGTTGGGTGGGGGCGTGAGCTTTGTCTGGGTCTTCAATGAGGGGTAAAGCTGAGAGGGGTGTGGTGGATGAGAGTGAAGTAGCGGAGGAGGGCCGCAGGGTGGGCCGAGCGCCGCGCCGGAGGAGAGCTGGCATAAGACTGGAGGTGGGGGGAGGGGCGGGGAGAAGAGGAGAAGGGGGGGAGGGGGCTGTAGCAGGTGGAGAGGCCTTCAGGTATTCCGGGTGCCGCCCGCGGGAGGATTGAGGTGACCTGGGCTGATCCGCTGGTGTTGATTGCGGCATCTCTGTTGCCACAGGCAGAGTTCACCAAACCAACCACACCTGGTGAGATTAGATCCCTGTCCCCATCCCTGAAGGCCCAAGACTGGACGGGGCACCCATGCTTCTGTCAAGTGGAGCCTTCGGGGAAGACAGATGACCCCAGAAGGCAGCCGTGTGTAATCTGGAAGTAGGGAGTTAAAGGGCCACGCCTCTGGACACCCGCGGCTCCAGAGCTTTAGTGCGTGGCCCTCGACAGCACGGGCTGTTCTCGCCTTTGTGTCCGTCGAGGGCTGCCGGGTCCTTCTCTGCGGCCATTGCATCCAAGGGTGGGGCGATCGCCTCTAGCGCTGCCCGTTCCCCTCCTAGAGTCCACAGCGCCAGGCTGTGCCCATGACCCCACACTCTGCAGCTTAGCCTTTGTTCCTTGTGAGTAATGGTGGAGTGGGTGTGGCTTGCTGCGCGGCGTGGACCGTCTTGCGCGCAGAATAAGGGTGGGGTTCTGGGGGCGGGCCCGTTCGTGGAACAAAGGGCTCTCAAAAGCGTGGAGGGAGATTTAGCAACGGAATATTTAAAATAACTCTCCAGGTGCTCTCTTTCCCAGGGATCTGTTGTCAAGTAAGGGGGTGGGTTCCAAGGGCAGTCATCTTCTGCGAACATTATCTAGCGTTTTGGGGGGCAGGAGGTCCAGGCTTGGCGCTGCGGACGGTGGGGAGGTGGAGGTGGGTAGGGGACACGCCTAAAAACTGCAGCACTGCGAGGGGGAGGCCACCCTGGACCAGGGCGGGCTCATAGGAGCGCGTGCGCAGGCTCGAAGCACCTATCGATCAGAATTCTCTTAAGTATTGGAGGGAGAAGCTGATCTCTCTCTCTCTCTCTCTCTCTCTCTCTCTCTCTCTCTCTCTCTCTCTCTGTGTGTGTGTGTGTGTGTGTGTGCGTGCGTGCGTGTGGGTGGGTGGGTGTGAGCGCGCTATCCACCTGCTTGCCTTTGAGGGAGGGAGGTAAGAAGGTGGCCGAAACGTTCACTACAGATTGTTCCCCGCAATTCCGTGTTTGAAGTGTGGGCTTCCCTCCCAGGACTGGTGACTTGCGGGGTGATGCGACCCCTTTCCATTCTCTGGTCAACTGGGATAGAATGGTCCCAGGTCTTGAGACGGAGCTGCCCTCGCAGCTGTTGAGTGAGCCCCTCCCAAAACCATCTGCAAGCTGTCATCGCCTCTCTCTCTTCCACCAGAGAGTGTGGGGGGAGGGGAGAAAAGGGCTTTAAATTCGGTTGTACGAGAAGCATTAATAATAAAAGCTCCCCCCCCCCCCCGCCCTCGCCGCGGACATCCTGGGTGCGGAGACTGGAGCTCTAGGCCCGACTCCGCAGACGCCTCCGCTGGGAGGGCGCGGGGTCCTACGTGGTGGGGTCGGGAGAATGGCAGGGCAGCAGATTTGCCTTTGTTCACCTGCCCCGCTAGCGGGGTTCCAAGGACCCCAGCCCTAATCTCGAGCTACACTAGTAGATGCGTCGAGGGTGAACAATTTTCAAGGTCACCTAGCACAATTGAAATCTCGAGGGGTGCCCAAGCCCTCCCCGGAAGGTGACCACGTCCCTGCGGAAAGGGCTGTAGCAGGTGCTAACCTCGAGGTGCCGGCTGCAGTGGGACCTAGCTGCTCTGAAGGTACCAGAGCGATGGCAGCACCCGCGCACTGGTGCGGAGCGTCCTGCGTCTGCTGCGGGAGGCCGCGAGCCACCCGGACTCGCAGAGCTCCGAAGCTCAGCTCCGCGCTGGGGGTCCGAGCCTGCCTCCTCTCCGAAGGGGTTCATTTTTCACTTCAGTGTCAGACCCAGATCTTCGTGGAGGGCCTCTCGGATTTCTTTTACGGGTGGAAGTTTGGGAATACAACGAGGGTGGGGAAAAAAAATCATCCTTGGAAAGCCCTTAACGCCCTTGGAGATCCCGCCCCTTTGGCCCAAGGTCTGCTTTCCTTTCTTTTCTCGCGTTTTGCCGCAGTGTCTCCTCCCCCAGCCCCTTCCCAGCAGGCATTCTTGCCAATCTTTCTAGCCATTGGAATTATGCTTCTGCATATATGTCCTAGCAAAAACCTGTCTTTTGTGTTGAAATGTCAGCGATGGCCGAGTCTTTCCGTAGTCTTTCAGTTTATCTGCTATTTTTTTAAAAGGCAAAGAAAAAATACTATTGTTCTCAGGATTCCCTCCCCCCTGCTTTATTATGCCCAATTCATCTCGATCTAGGCCATTGTCTATCAGATATGAAGTTTTATCAGATGTGAAAATATGATCACATATTAAACACACATATATGATATATATATATATATATATATATATTTAGTTTTCCCTTCTAGAGAGAGTTGTAGAAAGTGGTGTGTAAAATAAAATACAGTATTTATTTTATGCATAAGGTGATTTGTGTGGCTGATGGTCCTTAGACTAATAAAATTGTCTAAGCCTTTGTAATTTTCAGATTACTTTCACTGGTAAATCGTCCATTGTATTTCACACAAAGAGTCATTGTTTCCAGTAATTGAAGAAGCCGGCGGAAAGGGGCTTGAGGTAAATGGATAGTAAGTTTCGGAAGCATTATTTTCAGGCTGTACCGTGCGTTTGAGCTCGTGTGTTGAAATTACAAGACGCCTGGTTGAGGATTGTCGCTGACAGCCCCGGCATTGGCAGCGCCCAGCCGGAGCCGGCCGCGCCCCTGGTCTGCTTCTGCCGCGGCCAAGGTGCCTGCGGTTTCCTAGGCAACCCACACTTTGCCAATGAATGAAAAGCGATTGAAAGAGACTGCAAGGACTGCAAATCCGTCCTTATTTCCTTTCCTTTCCTTTCTCTTCCCCCTTTCTCCTATTCTCAGTCCTCTCCAGTTGGAAATACTGGAAAGCTACCAACCCTAACTTTTAGGCCAGGAGTTCGATGCCCAGGGAACCGGGGCTAGAAAGGGGTCCCGAGCCCACGTTGTCACCGTGGAGGGGGGCGGGGAGCCGACTCCTGGGATCTGCTTTCTCAGCTTTGTCCTCTCTACCGCCCCACCCTCCCCCTTCGCTCTGCCCGCTTCCCGGCGGCGGTGAGCCCAGCCTGGGGCTGCTGGGGGCCGCGTGCCCGAGCGCTCCGCCACGGTGGGTGACGCACAGACCCGTCCCCCCGCAATCTGGGGGTGCCGTGGGGATCGAAAGTCTGGAGGAGGCAGAGAAAACCCGAGCCTACCGGTGCCGCTCAGTGCGGAAACGTTTGCTCTTTGTTTTTCCGCACGGCTGGACTGCCCCCGGGCCCCCGACCCCGCCCGCCTGCCCCGGGCCGTGGCTGGAGGTAGTGAATCCGGATGAAAATGGCCCAGGCGCAGTCCGGGGGTGCTGCGCGTCCGCGGGGCCGGCCCGGGGACGGGGCCCGGGCCCCTCCGCGCGGCACAGGCAGCCCCCCATCCCCACCCCGTCCGTGATGTGATTTGTGAGATGCCGGGCAGCTTGGGGAGGCCCGGCTTGCCAGGCGCCAGCTTCCTCCGGGCGGCCTGGAGAAATGGCGTTTCGTGATACAAAGCCAAGCTGCAGAAAACCAAAGCAGAGAAGAAAAAAGTGTTCAGACGGAAGCATGCTAGATATTGGACGGTGTGCCTCTTGTCAGGTGCTGCCCTGAAAGCCACGGACTTGTAAATGGGTCTCTTTATGCAATGAATGAGTACACATGCGTAGGATAAGATGGGGAGCCATTTTTAGTTGAGGCAGATTCCAGTAACATCACAGAATAGGCTGTCATCCACATTAGAAGCCTTAGGAACTGTGCCACTAGCAACCACTGACGAACGAATGTTTCCAGGGATCTCCATTTCTCTCCCAAATCTGCCTTAGACACACACACACACACACACACACACACACACACACACACACACAGAGCAACCTCTCTCTGCAAAACACCAACTCCCGTCTTGAGTTGTCAGCCACCAAATATTCAAATATTTATTATAAAATAATAATGCCTTACAGAAGAGAAGTTCTGAGGGAATTTGCTCCCTCTTTCTAAACAGCTCATAGAAAAGAAAACCCACCAAAAGGTTTAGTCTCACATATATATCCAAAAGAATTGAAAGCAGGATCTCAAAAAGCAATTTGTCCACACATGTTACAGCTCACAAAAGCCAAACTAGAGGCAACCTAAGTGGCCACAGTCAGATAAATAAACATAACATGGTCTGTGCATACAATTAAATATTAGTCAGCCTTTAAAGGAAGAGGATGTTCTGGTGCATGCACCACATGGATACATCTTGAGACGTTTTATGAAGTGAGATTATCTAGCAACAATAAGACAATACTGTATGGTGGTATTCATATGAGGTACCCAGATGAGTCAAGATCACCAGGACAGAAAATACAATGAGGTTTGCAGGGGCTGGGGCAGGGAAGTGAGGGTTATTTAATAGAAGCACACTTTCAGATTTCTTTCTCCTCCTCCTCCTCCCCCTCCTCCTCCTCCCCTTTGTCTTCCTCCTCTTCCTCCTCCTCATTA